GTGCATAAAGAAAATCTACAGAAGCCCACATTAGAAATTACTGGGAGTCGATCCTTCTCCCTATGTGGAGCCATTACAGCCAGTTTTAGGGTTTTCCGACCTGCTGAATCCTACTTGGAAATGCAGCTGGAAACCTGTGTGCTTATTGCAGCAAACACAGCAGTCTTCTCTCTGTGTGTTTTACTTTATAAACTGATTTATTGTAAAGAGCAGCACGATTGTTAACAGAGGGAGAATCCATTACAGTCACAGCTTGTTGTCTTTAACAGTCTCAATATTTTTGTTTGTTGTTTGTGTGGATTTCTCCGAAATTTGTGTTGAGTTATTCACAGTCACAGTATAATAAGCAGTTGTGACCACAGCCAAATTGGCCAGCAGGTGTCACTGTGGAGATGGGTTTCATCTCCACGGGGATAGACGAGATGGAGGCAGGTGATCCGCTGTGGCGCCCCCACAAGAGTGAGTCTCGCTTATTTACACGAGGAGAAGCCTCCAAATGTCTGTACTGACACAACCTAAATCACTATATAGTAAAAGTAAAAAGAAGGCCTAACGAATCACGTCGCTTTTAAATCCTTTAAAATCAAAACATTGTTTTTCAAAGTTCCGTTGGTATCACGGAACTGTTGTATTTAAGACCAGTTTCCGACCGGAGAATAATATTGGGAACACGAAATGGCGACGTTCTTGTTTCGCATAGGACGATTGGGTCCTCTCAAGGTAACAAGAACTGTACTAGCTCTCAGTGTTTTAATGTATCGGTGTCGTGTTTAGTTGTACTAGCACAGATACAACACTTGGACTCAGTCACATCAACGCTGGCGTCTGTAGTACAGACCAGACGGCAACTGTCGGAACAGGACAGGCCAACCGCAGCACCGACACATGACCCTGAAACTGTCACAGTCACATCGTTTGTTCCTGTTGTTATTGAAAAGAGGCGAACTACTTTGAAAAAGGGGAAATAAATAATCTCTGTGCTCTGTGATAGTTTAAGCCGGTTTCATCACGGTTAGGACTGTTTTTTTCTTAGGGTGGATGGATTGCACAGCATACAGGCACAAAACTGTATTGTTGGTGGCTGATGGCTCGTGTCAGATGATGATGATGATGATGATGGTCCTCACGTACTTTTCGTCCCTTGGTCCAAAATGTGAACATCGGCATCCTTTATGTGCAGGTGTACAACTGAGTCTTACGCTTACTCTTCCATGTTGTGGGATGGCTGTTTGGTTTCTCCTTTGTAGAGGTCCCAGCATTCCCTGCTGCACTTGACTGTATACATGTTTTATACATGTTTTTAGCTTGTGTTTGGGAGTGTTGGCCTTGGGACCGACTTTTAGAACCCTTCTCAGGCGTGTCAGCCCCAAGTCACACCTTTACTTGATAAAATAGGTGATAAACGAACATAATAAAGCTAAAATGTCTTCACAGTCTGATTTTATGAATAGATGAATTTACTCATCAGGCATAACATTATGATCATTGACATGTGAAGTAAAATTTTGATTTGCTACCATTGATAGGTGGAATATATTTGGGAGTAAGTGGACATTTTCTCCCCAAGGATCATGTGTTAGAAGCAGGAAAAAACGGGGAAGCGTGAGGATTTGACTGAGTTTGATAAGGGCCAAAGTGGGATGGCTAGACGACGGGGTCAGAGCATCTCCTAGTGTGACGGCAATGTGATGCTTTGGGTAATGTTCTGCTGGGAAAACGTGAGTCTTTGTGGGTATTCTCGGATGGCCGAGGTAATGCATGCTGCCACGGAGCAAAAAGGTTCAGAAATGGTTTATGGTTCACAACAATGATTTTGAGGCGCTCACTTGGCCTCCAAATCCCAAGATCTCAGTTCAGTCGAGCATCTGTGAGACGTGTAGGACAAAAAAGTCAGATCTATGGAGG